AATTAAAATTATTTTTTAAATTCATATAACTTCTTAAATATTTATTCTAAATATTAACTATCTTATATCAATTTGTAACTCATATTACGATCTACAACTTTACTTAGAACATCAACAAACATTTACTTGAACTTGAACTGAACTTTTGATCAGGTTCGAGTCTGGTTCAAAATTCAAACCGAACTCGAACCAGACTTTTAATTAGGTTCAAATTTTTGAAACAGACTTTTTGTCAGGTTTGAGTCTGGTTCAAGCTCAAACTGAACCAGACTCAAACTGAACCAGACTTTTTTTTGGAACCCTAGATATATATATAGCATATATCATAAGAAAGAGTTTGATATTTTTTTTAAAATTTATTTTTTATCTAGATAACTTAAATAAAAATAGAACAAGTATAGAAGAACAAGTTAAAACAAAAATAAAGTTTTTTTCTTATAATATTATTCATCTAAGTTGGTATATTTTTATTTGGATGAAATCTGAATGAGTTTTTTCTTGAATATAAGCAGATCTATTTTAATTGTATTCTAGAATAGCAATTATGAGATATACTTTTATAAATCAAGATAAGTAAATATATATTTTACTACTAGAACCAACTAGAAACAAGATAAAATGATATTATATTTGGTGACAGGAATATAATATATTCAATAGCATTTGTTTAATATATTCAATAACAAGAATATAGTATTATTATGATATAAATATTTAATTCTTATTTTATTGGTTAATTCATATTATAAATTTAATTGAATTATATTTTATTGGTTAATTTTATATTTATATTTTATTGAATAGTTATTTTTAGATAGTTGTTATTTTATTAAACAATTATATATTAGATATTATTAGTTCTTAGATTGTTTATTGATTTATATAATCAATTTAATTAATATTAATGATAAAATTTATGTAATATTAAAGCGAGCAAGTGATATATAACCAAAAAGCGAGCACTTTTTGTAATCTTAATATCAATCAAAAATAGCTTTAATATTTGAAAATTGAGTAACAATAACTTATATAAATATAGCTTGTATCTTAGTTTAAATCAATAACTTAGCTTAGCTCTTAAATTCAATAGCTTTTAGGATCTCAAGAATAATAAATAATAATTAAAAACATGTAATAAATTAATGATAAATTTGCCTAATAATAAAATTATACTTTATTATTATTGAATTATGATCTTATAATGAAATTACATATTTATTACATAAAATTCTTAATTAAACACTATTATTAAAAATTCCAGGTCTCATTCTAGCTAATCACATCATGAATATACTGTTATTTTTCTTTAGATTCATTTATAATCATAGTTTAGTGCTTGATGCATTATATAAATTTAATTATATTATACTCTTTCATCTGTTATTCTTAATAAACTTTACTATATTACCCTGGTCAAGTAACTATTATAACATTATTAAGCACTCACCAGTTCTCCAAGAACTCATATAATATGGTAACAATATTTTATTTAAAGCAATAGTTAGTTTTTGTAATATTATTGATAATGTTCTATTGAATTATTTTATAATTTCATTTGTTTGTGAATGATATGATGAAGAGTATTTGTATTGTATTCTATTATTTGTGCTGTAAATTTTGTTCCTTGATCTAATTGTAATATTTTCAGATATTCATGTTGACAAATAATTTCTTCAAATATAAACTTAGTGACAATTGCAGTTTCTTTGTTGGGTATTGCTTTTGCTTCAGGTCATTTTGATAGATAATCTATAGCAATTACAATATATTAATTTTTTTGTTGAGTTAATTTATAAGATCCAATAAGATCTATTATGATATGATTAAAAGATTATCCAACTTTGATTGGATATAAAGATTCTTTGAATTGTCAACTTTCAGTAAATTAACAAGTAGAGCAAGATTTTACAAAATCTTTTATGTCAGTTTCCATTCTATTTCATCAATATTATATAATAATTCATTGATAAGTTTCATTATATTCAAAGTGTCCAGTAGAGTTCTGAAAAAAAGTCTGATTCAGTTTGAGTCTGATTCAGTTCGAGCTTGAACTGAACTCAAATCTGATGAAAAGTTCAATTTGAAAATTTGAATCTAATTAAAAGTCTGGTTCAAGTTTAGTTCAGATTTTGAATCAGACTCAAACTTGACAAAAAGTTCAATTTGAGTTCAAGTAAATATTTGTTGATGTTCTAAGTAAAGTTGTAGATCGTAACATGAGTTACAAATTGATATAAGATAGTTAATATTTAGAATAAATATTTAAGAAGTTGTATGAATTTAAAAAATAATTTTGATGAAAATGGATAATCATTTTTAAGTTAGAATATATTTAAAAAAAATATTAATATTTTTTCAAAACATATTACTTTTATAATAATATTTATTGATATCTATTAATATTTATTGAATATTTATTGATACATTGTTACAGCTCATAATTTCTTAATTCTAATTTTATAACTTTTTAATTATATTTTCAATATATTCAATATATTCAATATATTTATTATATTTAATATATCCATTATATTAGTTATATTAAAAATATTAATTCTATTAAATATATTTATTATATTGATGTATTTTCAAATTATATAGATACAACATGAAATAAAATCTTGAGCATCATTAATTGATCATTACAAAAATCTAGCTAGTTAATAAACTGTTTCTTGTTGAAATTTATACATTAATTAATTAATTTATACTTATTATATCTACTAATACACTTATATTTTGTATTATTGGATATTAACCAAGTTGCTAAAGAATATTAGTACTGCATTGCTTTAGAACTGTCACACTAAGTAAATATATCATCTATTAGTAATAGTAAGAGTCTATTTGACAGATAAAATAAGACACACTGTGACAATTCCAAAGTGATAGAATCTGACGAGATTGAGTACACAAAGTATGTACAACATAGATGTTGGTCAAACATCTACGTTACGAGAATACCTATCCAGTGACATCGGACTAAAGGCTGGAAATGATCATCTCCCTTTCTCACATATATGCTTAAAGTCAGTAGGAAAAAAAACATGTGATCGAAATTTCTGAGACAGCGCGTCCCGGAAAAATAAATAATGATCATTGATAATATTTTTCTGATATGCGTTACAGGTATATACAAGCTCAATATGAGCGAAACTTTATTATAGTACATAGATAAATAAGTTAGGGAAGGATTTGCTCATCTATTATTCGCAATACTTGCCAGTGGCACTCATTCGAACATTTTTGAACTCCTTATCGTGCCAGAAGTGTATAACATTCAATCCCTTTCCCTGCAACTTATCAGAAGGCCAGTATGGATCTACCACAACAGAATCCTCTCTAGAAAAATGCACGACCCAAACTTCCTGAGGGCAAAGTTGATCAGCATATGTAAATACTTGCTCAAAATGATTCTTAAGTTTCGGGATAGATCCTGTTGCTAAGAGTTCAAGAACGGCTAAAGGGTTATGGTCATCACTTTTCTTTATCGTCAAGTCGCAATAAAAATGATGGTAATCACCATCTTCACAGACTTGTTCGAGGTGCCACTGGCTGGTAATTTCGTAACCGTGAATCTTCCTAAGCCAGTTCACTAGGATCCGATACATCTCAGCGTCATACGTGCTCTCCCGAGGAACTTTGATGTGATGTTCAGAATTCACATACAAATGATTTGAATAGCGACTATAGACATTGCCTTCACTTTTTATTTCTATTCGTTCGTTGACTTTGTGGTGTCATAGGGCTTGTCAGTAATTCTAATCTAGGGGGCGGTGTCCTTAAACCACTTTCATCATAGTTCTGTAGCGTTCTGAGCTGTTCTTCTTTCGTCAAATCTTCTTCCTCCATTAGTTTGATTACATTTTTCACTATTACCTTTAAAAAATGTTTAATTGAGATGCACCAGCGGGACATGTCTGTAGATTGTCACGAGCACGGCTTTTCGAGATACCAACTCTGGTCTCTGAATTCGGTGCAAAAGTCCTTCCAACAATAAGCTTAGTATGGAAAGCAAGGGTAAGTGTCACTTTAGGTATTTTTCTTCATTTACTTATTTGCCAATTAAACATTTTTAAAGGCAATAGTGAAAAATGTAATCAAACTAATGGAGAAAGAAGATTTGACGAAAGAACAGCTCAGAACACTACAGAACTGTGATGAAAGTGGTTTAAGAACACCGCCACCTAGATTAGAATTACTGACAAGCTCTATGACACCACACATTCAACGAACGAATAGAAATAAAAAGTGAAGGCAACGTTTATTATCGATATTCAAAACGCCGAAACTTTTATTGTGATTGTGATCGTCCATTATCAAAAAATTAATACTTTCGCGCATCGGAAAAATAAAATTTTTGTGTGACCGTGATTGCGCAGTCACGTGATTTTGATCGAGAACAATGTTTCCAGGTTTTTTGGGTGGCTAAAGCCTGGTGGACATGTGATGCGTGTTTATCACAGTGTTAAAGGTTGATTTATTAGCGTTAGGGTTAAAGTCGGAGTATATGTGAAATTACCTCCCCGACGTTTTTAATTAGTGCTTCAAGATAGATTAAAGCATACATTTTCCATATTTTTCATTTTTACGTTCGTGCTTCGGATTTGTTTTTTCGGGTTGATCAAAAATTTACGCATTCTTATTGGCTTGTTTCTCGGACAGATCATCGGATCCACCAGGCTTTAGCCAACCCCCATAAATAGAGCTGATATTTGGTGATCCGCGATTGAAAGGCAAAAGATGGTAGGTTTTGTTTCTTATCATTATTACTCGAAAACTGAATCTTTTACCTAATTTGTTATTAAAAACAAGGGAGACCAAAAGCCAATTCTCTATACGTACTATCGTTCTTCTTGTAGCTGGCGTGTGCGTACAGCTCTTAATTTCAAAGGTATCGAGTACGATACTCGCCCAGTGAATCTGAAAAAAGGCGAACACGTAAGTTATCTTGTAAAATTATTTATCTCCAATATACAGATAAACATTTAATTTTACAATACAATCATAAACAAGAACACTCCAGAATACGAAAACTTGAACCCGTTAAAATTAGTTCCCACTTTGATTATCGATGGCCAGGCATTGACTCAATCGGTCGCGATACTCGAATATCTTGAAGAGACACGTCCTGAGCCAGCTTTATTGCCAAAGAATCCGATTGACAGGGCTAAAGTATAAGTCTTCGAGATGATATTTATTTTAATTGATTTATTCGGTTTATTTATTCTCGTCGAATTTGATTTTAATAAGGTTAGGGCCATCGTGCAATCAATTGCTAGCGATATTCAACCTATTCAAAATTTACGCGTCGTAAAGCATTCGAAGCAAGACGATTGGGGAAATTATTGGATTACATCGGGGTTCAGAGGTAAATATATTAACTATAGTGTGGGCATGAGTCAATCAATAATTTAGTTAAATAAGATTTAATTTATAACAGCGATTGAGAAACATCTTAAAGAAACATCTGGTGACTATTGTTTCGGTGACTCGATTACATTGGCCGATGTGTTTCTCGTTCCGCAGGTTTATAATGCAAATAGGTAATCATAAATTTTTTTCACGTTAAAGCTTTTTTTCACATTAAAGCTTTTTCTAATGATGATACAATGAAAACAGGTATCAAGTTGACTTGACAGAATTTCCTATTATCCAAAAAATAAATGCACGACTTAACGAATTGCAAGCTTTTCGTGATGCTCATCCATCAAATCAAATTGACTGTCCGCTGATTCCTGGTGTTTGAAAAATATTTCCGACACCATGTGAATAATTAGCCTTTATATCAGTGGGAAACTTGTTAGCTGAACTACTTTTTGAGCCAAACGGACCATTTCGGTTTTTGCTCGAAGAAAAGCTTGCTTAGTAAGCAATATTGTATTTTATGCGACCAATTACTCTATAAGCACACGTTTCGATTGTCAAAAAATAAGAACATATGAAAAACGCGTGAATCGATATTTTTTATTTATGTGTAATAAATAACACAGTATTACACTTCCAAATATGTAGCAAGTGATACAACATTATTGTGGTCTATCGCTATAACAAAAAAATATTTACCAAACTTATTCTGTAAAAACTACATTATTTCCGCTCTCTTTCTATCTCTTTATAACCGACGAAAAAAACCAAATGGCGGTAGGCACCACCAACCAATATTCAAAAAGCACAACCGTAACGACAACAGCAGACGTCAATTATTATAATAGTGGCTATGATTCTCATACAATGACCTTAAAACAAGCAAAAGAATTATGGAATAATCCACGGTCGAAGCAAGTTATTACACTTTCCTCGGGAAGAGTTGGCGTTTGCGAGGTATTTTTTATAATTGTTTTTTTTGAATTTTGAAATTTTGAGTAATGTCCGAAACATAAGTTTTTGTTTGCTAATGAATGCACTTTGAAATTTTAGGTTGGCGACCCAAAAGGTTTTCCTGTGATTTGGTTCACGGGTAATTTACGACGAACGCTTGAATTAAAGATTTAATTTTTTACATTATATTAACTTATTTTAACAAACAGGTAATATGGGTCCCGCTTTCACCATTCTTTTATATGAAAGTTTCGCTAGGCGTTATCACATCCGAATGCTTTGTGTTGACCGACCTGGGTTTGTTATATCTTGTTAATAACATTCATTTTTTCCATATTTTCATAAAACTGTTATTGATTTAATTTACAATCCTAAAGCTACAATGACACCGAAGATTGTTATTCGAAACGAGGTGTACCAAATGTTTTCGAATTCGTCGATATGGTCAATGAACTCACAGTATTTCTCGGCATATACAAATTTGGATTAGTCACATTTTCATTGGGCGCTGTTTTTGGTCTGGCATTCTCTCTTCGTTATCCTGAAAGACTTAAAGGACCCTTGCATTTGATAAGTCCTTGGGTCTCGACATCTACCCCGGGAGCATCGGCAACAATGAATCGAATAGCGAGATATGCACCGAATTTTTTAATCCGTACCACACTTACTGTGGTTCCCTCGATGAATCAGTTATTTGGAAATATTTGGGGAACGGTGGCATCTCTAGGGGGAGCAGCCAATGGGAATGGTAATGGGAATAATAATGGTAGTAATATCTCTGTTATTGAAGATGATGAAGAAACCATTACGCTAAGTAGTTTTTCTGTGTCGCCTGGAAGAAGTTATCTATACAATCAAGTATACCAGAATGGAATCTGGAATCTTCAGAGTGGCAAATCTGGACCGCATAATGACTGGATGGTCGCGTTAGAAAGAGTTAATTGGGGCTATAAATATGAGGAGACCAGTTATCCTACACGCATATTCATTGGCGATATGGACGAGGAAGTTCCGTTGGTCGCGTGGAAACATATGAGCGAGCGAATGAAAAATGTGAAGTTTAATGTCGTCGAGGGCGCAAAACATTATTTACTATATCGGATGGATTTTATGGACGATTTATTCAAGATGATTCATCAAGAGTTTACTAGCGACAATACATGACAACTTAATTGTAATATTAGTATTATTAGTCACTTTTTATTATGTATGATTATATATAGATTAATATAATGTATGGGATTGACGCATAGAATAAAACAAGCCATACATGGAGTATACATAATGTATCCATCATGGCTTAAGTGAAAAAGTAGAGACCAATTTCCGTGAATAAAAATCAAAAAACAGAGTCAGCGGCAAGCAGTTCTTCTAGGCCTTCTGCGATGCTTAGTTTCGCCTATTCAAGTGAAACAATCAAAAAAAAATAAATATATGTGGATGTACGTAATATCACCAATTTAGTTTTGTTAGTTTTTTATCGCCTACCTTGTCTGAAATGGGGTTTTTTGCTGCTAAATAACCCATCAACAAGTTTTTTGCTAGCCAGTGGTTATGTATTGTGCCTAGTTCTTTGCCCTTTTTATTCATAAAAAATAAATACACATTTAACGTTGATTTCAATTAAAAATAGAAATGTATAAATCTACTTGCATGGTACTCCATTCTTAGACAACCATCCACCTGTTTCGTAAATACCAAAACAGACCCCTTTTTCACAGTCGTTTTTGGAAAGATTTTTTTGAATTCTGCTATGGAGTCTACTATTCTCTAATAATAATAATAATAATAATTCATTACGATAATAATTGAATATTTAACGTTTGAATAGAATTCTGAATTTTTATTTGATTTTTGTCGTACAGATTGATCATCACCCGCCAATTCTTCGTCCATGTACTGAATTCTGTTAAATAGTGATTTGGTGAACCCGTCACGTAGATGTGCACCATGAGTATCACGTACTGGAACTTTGTGTCATTGTTGTTTTTTGTTAGCACATGAGAAATATCAAGTAATTGCGATAGAAATATTTTTTGTTAGCACATGAGAAATATCAAGTAATTGCGATAGAAATATTTTTTGTTCACCTATACGAATTGCAAACTCGACCGGTTGATCTAATAACGCGTGAGCCATCGATTCATCATCGGTTGACAAAAACCTTTTTTTATCAAAATCCTTTAGGATCATTAATCATTTACCGATAAATTCATTCAATTCGGCCATTATAAATTAATTCAATTTGAACACCAAAAATTAATCCATCAACATACCCTCCAATCACGAAGCATCTTAATATCTTGTTCCCTGACATACAACCCAACCACGTACACTTTTACCTTCAGAAACGACACTGTACGTACTCCGAAACCTATCAGTTTTGCTGGAGCCCCATCGTATAATGTTATACATTTCGGAAATTGGAGTTTACTGTCGGGGTCCTCTTTATCAAGAAAGTATTATTAGATGTAATCTATCTATTATTAGGTAAAAATCAAACATTAGATTATATATTTTACCTATTGTTTCGACACTAGGAGGGTTTTCTCGAGGCTTTGTATCCTCTGCATAGATTAGGTTGCTTTGTAAGGTGTACCACCATATAGTGAAAGTAGTTGTAACTGCTGCTGCTGCTGCTAGGCTTGATATTAAAGATGCAGCCAAATTAGGTGAGGATAATATGAAAGGTCTTTTTGAAATGAAGAGATACTATTACATAAAATCAATGTATAGGAGCTTCAGTAGTCTCTTAAAAATTAAAATATGGAAAGTTCCGTTTTTTCCCTTACTTTGTTCGAGTTTAAAGCTCTACTGTTAATCAAAGGTATAAAAGTCTTTAGTTGTCGTGTACTAGACGAAACTATATGAGAGCCAAATATCGACGATGTGGAGTAAATGTTTGTAAGGTATCTTAGTCGCTGGCTACTATGTCGTAGACGTAAACTATGAGAGTACATTTTTGTTTTCACTCTTGATAACCTCAAATCATAATTATTGATGAAGCACGGGATATTATCGTTATGCGTTTTATAACGATAATGGGTTTAACGAAATCGCTAAAGTATTCCACAAACGAGCTATATAATTATTGGGTCTACGCATCACGAATGGAATAAATCGAATACAAACACGATTCTTGGTGTTTTGTCTTTTCAACTTAATCCGACCAAGGAAGATTTCCTTGAAGCATTTAATCAAATTCACTACCATCAAAGGTGAATTTTGCAACTTTTTAATTCAAATGTGAAATATCTGAAATGGTAAATAAGGGAATCACTTTCTAACTATAAAACGTCTCTTTAAATAACTATCACCAGTACTATATCCTTTAATTCTAAACTGAAACTTTTTCGGTTTTTCCGGAGCTTCTGGAAAAATTATTTAGCCAATAATTGGCACGGGACAAGGGACTTGCACCTTCATGTTTAGGTCCTAAGCCTGACACGTATTATATTTCACCAATCCGCTTTCTCTGGTGTCCTGTGAAGGGATCAAACCTTATATTAGTTAGGCTACTCCGATAAAAAAATTGGTTCTTAATATCCAGCCAATAACTCATGGAACCAGAATCATCTAAAGCCATTTGAAATAATGCATCTCGTAACGAACAACGTGTTTTATCAATAAAATATAATGACAGGAAAGAGGGATAATGACGATAGAGTAGAACAAATCATTTATAAGAGTGTTTTTAAAAAGATAATTGTACTTAGAAATTATAATCGTTAGATTTTTCAAATTTTCTTGTAACCAAACGAAAATAAAACTTTAATCATACTTATAATTTTTGCTAGTCATGTGCTTTGAGAATCAATTTTTTTTAATTCGATGAGACAAGTCACATGATTGTCTTTATTGAAGGAAAAGTCATTGTGATTGATAAGAATCTCGTTCATGCAAACAAGAAAAAAATTTATTTGGAAGCGTTGAAATTTTTATTTCCTCAAAAAGTAGTGGTTGAAAAGAACTTAAAATGCAGTGATACAAGTGTTTAAGTTTATTTGCAATTACTGAATGAGACTAAGGTAAAATTAGATACATGCATTTTTTATGATATAGAGATAGAAATTATATACCAAGTAAAAATACTATCTGTGATGAACTAGCACTGCCTCACTCGCAGAGATCAAATGCTATATTTGCCAAGATCTTGATTTGTGATGGTAGAAAGGCTACTACCTTATCCGCAGGGTAAGGCACTTGCAGAATCGAATGCTATCTCGAGATATCTACTGTTTCACACGCAAGGATCTGTGATGATTCGAATTCGAATTTAAATTTTTATTTTATTTTTATTATATTTTTATTATATTTTTATTTTTATTTTATTTTTATTTTTATTTTTTAAACTTCTAATTCATTCTGTGATGATTCGAATTGAACTTTTTCATATAATCTTCTAATTCATTCTGAGATCTATGGGAATGGCAGTACCTCACTCGTAAAGATCGAATGCTATATTTGCTAAGGTCTCTGCTTGTGCTGGTATAGTTTTGCGGAACTTCTATTTTGCCTTGCAGATCGAATGCTAGAATGGTCACTACCTTGCTTGCAGGGTAGTTGCAATACTTGCTGAGATCTCGAAATACCTGCTGTTCACTGTAATCTATGATGCTTCGAATTAGAATTTTATTACTTCAAATTTTCTAATCGTGGCTTAACAGTACTACCTTACCGGTATAGGCTTCGCCACACCCGTTGAAAACTCTTCTGAGTCGAAGCAAGCGCTCGGTTCGTGTGGAAAGACTACTATTCTACATATCGAATGCTAGGAGGGCTGATACCTTGCCCGCAGGTATTAATTGCTATCAAGGTAGCAGAGATCAGCGAATAGCTACTGTTTCATACACGAGGCCGAATTTGAATTTTAAATTAGAATTTTTATTTTCTTCTAAATTAGAATTTTTATTTCTTTTAATTTAAATTTCTAATTCATTCTCTGAGATCTATGGAAATGGTAGTACCTCACTCGCAGAGATCGAACGCTATATTTGCCAAGATCTCGATTTGTGATAGTAGAAAGGCTACTACCTTATCCGCAGGGTATTTATTGCACCTGCAGAATCGAATGCTATATTTGCTAAGGTCTCGAGATATTTACTGTTTCACACGCGAGGCGAGGATCTGTGATGATTCGAGTTTGAATTTTTATTTTTATTTCTTCCAATTTGAATGTTTATTTTCTACTTATTTAAATTTTTGTGATGATTCGAATTGAACTTTTTCTCATATAACTTTCTAATTCATTCTGAGATCTATGGGAATGGTAGTACCTCACTCGCAGAGATCGAATGCTATATTTGCCAAGGTCTCGGCTTGTGATGGTATAGCTACTTGTCACATTCGTGGGACACCCCCGCCGAGTCGAAGCAAGCTCTAGATTTATGTGGAGAGCTTCTATTTTGCCTTGCAGATCGAATGCTAGAATGGTCACTACCTTGCTTGCAGGGTAGTTGCAATACTTGCTGAGATCTCGAAATACCTACTGTTCACTGCGATCTATGATGATTCGAATTAGAATTTTATTTTCTTCAAATCACTATCGTGGCTTAATAGTACTACCTCACCGGTATAGCGCGCACTCATGGGACACCCCCGTGAATCGGAGCAAGGCATTGAATTTGTGCGGAAAGACTACTATTTTGTCTTGTAGATCGCATTCTGATGGCTAATACCTTGCCCGCAGGTATTAATTGCTATCTAAATCGCTGCGATTTCGGAATAGCTACTGTTTCAAACACGTGACCGTTTTGAAGTTTTATTTTCTTCTAAATTGGAATTTTTATTTTCTTCTAATTTGAATTTTTATTTTCTTTTAAATTTCTAATTCATTCTCTGAGATCTATGGAAATGGTAGTACCTCACTCGCAGAGATCGAACGCTATATTTGCCAAGATCTCGATTTGTGATAGTAGAAAGGCTACTACCTTATCCGCAGGGTATTTATTGCACCTGCAGAATCGAATGCTATATTTGCTAAGGTCTCGAGATATCTACTGTTTCACACGCGAGGATCTGTGA